GTGTGTGTGTGTGTGTGTGTGTGAAAGGCTTTGCAGGAGTCGTCCAGTCAGAAAGGCAGCAACGTCAGAGACAGTGGTTTTGGAGATAGCTGGTACTCTGAGCGAGAGGAGCTCCACCAGCTGAGAGGAGGAGGAGGAGGAGGCAGTAGACACAGGAGAGACGACTCCCTGGACAGTTTGGACTCTTTGGGATCTCAACCTCACAGCATCTCCTCCGACACCACCCTTAAAGGCGGCAGCGAGGGTAAGAAGAAGTATTGTCATTTTCATGCAAAACTGAAGAACTTCTGCTGCTTTTTTTCCCCTATTAAACCTGAATTTATGACATTTAAGAAACCTAAGCACCATTTTTCCTTTCACACACTGTCAGTAGATTGTCATCAAAGTGTTCTGCCTTTCACAAATTGTATTTGCGCATCAATATTTATGATCCAGTTGATCTGTCTTGAACTTCAAATATTTGAACAGTAGATATGCTCCACCAGAGCCAGCGTGTTGACTCCCATTTATGAAGACAAATGCATATCGCCCTCTAGTGGTGTGCTTTTGACAGGGGATATTTTCAGTGAAGAATTCCCTCTAGGTTCCGCAGGAAGGAGATAGATGTCTACACTGACACCGGTCTGGTTTCATGACTTCATGAATTATTGTTCCCTGTAAGAGAGTGAAGTACTCGCCAGTGATCCCGGAGCAGACTGACCTCCCCTCCGTAAAGAGAGAGCAGTGAGACATTCCTCAGTCGTCCACACTGGCTTGTAAATGAGGAGGCCTCCGCTCCCCACCCTGCACCCCTCTGTTACTCCTTCAAAGTCATGCCAGAACACACAGCACACTCCCCTCAGTCTTTCCTCTGTTCTCACCTTATTTGTCCTCTTTGCTAAACCTCATCTCCTCCACCAGACATGTACCGTCCTTTTCTGCCTCGCCATCATAACCTGTCCTCTTCCTCATGTTTGTCCCCCGCTCTCTGCGTCCAGGTTGTTGCAGTGACACAGAGGCTGACTCCGTCTTCAGGATGGCTGAGAACAAGGACGGCCTCAGTTACCGGAGGTCGGTCGTCATCACTCCCAAGACCAGCACCCAGTTCAACCAGTTCCTGCCCAGTAAGGACAAACCTTCGGGTTACGTTCCCGCTCCTCTGAGGAAGAAACGGGCAGAGCGCAACGAGGACAACAGGCGTAGCTGGGCCAGTCCCATATACACGGAGGATGACGGCACCCTCACCAGGTACAACACGCGACAGTGATGTGTTTGAAGGTGCTGGTTATAATCTTTAACTTTGTTTCCCTCTTAAAAGCATAAACAGAAAGTGATGGGTTGAATTTGGTTGTCTGCGTCTTCTCCTGTCACTCTCGGGTTGTGTTGTCTCCATTTGGTCAATGGTGTTGTTTTACATTTTGCTGTGGCGTGGAACGATGACCTCAGCGAAACAGTGCTTTCCTCCGACCGCTTTGGAAAAACTCACACATCCCAGAGTTCCTCGCCCGACACTCAGCTGCAGTGGACATACGAGTACGAGAGCGGCAGTGAGTCTGATGTAGACCGGCCAGACCCGGATCTGGTTCTGGACGATCTGGCCAGCAGACGCTTCCACAGCCCCTCCCCGGCTCCCCCCACCAACTTCGCCGTGCCCATCAGTCCCCAGGCAGGAGGGAGGGCAGCTGAAGGTGGGAGGGGCTCCAGGCCCAAGGTCACTGCTCAACAGAATGTGACCTGTCTCAGGTCAGAGAACGCGAAGCTGCGGTGTGACTTTGATTTGCCTGCGTGATGACATCATTGCTTCTCTCACCCTCAGTTTGCATGGTTAACTGTAACCATGAGTGGTTGGGTCGTAGTGTGCTGCCGCTAACAGCTCTGAAGTCCTCAGTTTGTTGGTTTCTGTTTGACGTGTGTTGAGTTTTAGCTGCAGCACGTCCTCATTTGCTCCTTCTGCACTCCACCAGCTTGGAGGAGGGATTTGAGTTGGCAACATGTTTCCTCAAATCAGTTTTTGGCTCCTTCACAGTTTGGTTTTTGAGCTTGCGTTGGTTTTCAGTTTCTTGCGTCATCTCATTTGAAGTGCTTGTGGAATGTGTTCCTCTCTGCGTGACTTTTTCGTGCAGTGAACACCATTTTGACACGTGTCGGTTGGCTGTCTCTCTCGAGCAGCAGCGGTGGCATCGATGGTGGGGAAACGCGGCCACCCCACCACAGCTCTGTGAGGGTGGACCACCGCCGAGCTGTGAGGACTGACAGCCTGTTCGGGGACATTTACTACGACTCTGAGGATGACGACGACGAGGTGGGCTACGCCGACCCCGTCCAAGATGATCTCTACACTCGCAAGATGGGTGTCAAACCGGAGCCTCTGGGTAACGTGACTTATGATAAGTTCTTACCTAAGTTCTGGACGCCTGAGGAAGACGTTCACATACAGAAGATTAAACTGGGCTCTCAGAAGAGGCCCTGGTATAAGAAGATGCAAGGCTTCAGGTGTGTGAGGGCATTGAAACACAGCACATACTGCACATGCACTCGTAGGCTTATTACTTCACAGAAATAATTTATTTTCTGCTTCTTGCACAACCTTTTCTGACTCTACACACTTAATCCTCACTTGCATGCCAGTTCCTCCTGTACACTGTCCGACTGAAAATGTGGTCTGCTCAATCAATTCTTATTTTTCTTTCTCTTTCCCTACTATCGCCTCCTCTCTTTCCCTCTGTCCCCGTTCTCTACCTCTGTCCTCTTCTCCTTCGTCAACCCTGCTGTAGCCATACGAAGTCGAATTCCTCGTCGGAAGATTCGGACTGTGACACCAGTCCTCGGCCCTCCTCCGCCCCCTCTCTCTGCGGCCCCTCTCCCTCTCACTCCCACACACACAAGGCCTCGGCTCACACCACCCTCGTTGTGGGGAAAAGGTCGATACAGCTGCACGATTGTGACGATGAAAGAATGTTTTAGAGCATTCAGATTTGATTTGAGAAATATAAGTGGCTGCATTAACCACAAGCTGCTTCTTAATATACTAATGATAAAGTTAACAGAGGAGCGACTGCAGTTTCCCTAACATGCATCATTAAATAAACTGCATCTCCACAATATCATATCTTAATTACTGCCTATTCTAGTGAAGACATAAAGCTTGATATTCAGATTCTTATTTCTTGTGATTTGATCTTTTTGAATCAAATACCAACACTATGGCTGCTTGTAGTATCTTTTCCTCCTTTTCTTGCTCTTTCATCCGGTTCACATGCATGCACTCATCACCTCTCTGTCCTTTTCTTTCCTCCGGCCCGTGCTGCAGTCCTCACATCCAACCACACACTCCCCCACAGCTCCCCGAGACACAGCCCCCTCTGTTACAGCCTCCCCCTCTGGTGTTCCCCCCAGTGGACCCCGCCTCAGGTCCCAGGCTGGTCAAATGCGAGAGGTGGCCTCTCCTGGGGCGCCACGACCCCCGGGAGCCGCCAGATCCTTTTGATTATGAGAGCATGTTCCCCGACCTGGAAAACGATGACATGTTTGCCAGGCGGACCCTGGCCTTCCAGTCCAACACGGACCTGGCAATGATGAAGTCTCAGCTGCCCCACAAACGCCGTCTCTACACATCCGAGCCGCAGCTCAATATCATCACCCAGCAACACGGCCGTGGCGGGACAGAGGAGAGCGACTTCCCTGACATCGAGCAGGACGATGTGGTGTATCGTAAGGAGAAAACCCAGCAGACTCAGCGACCACTTTCAGGAGCCCCTGACAACTACGCCCCCATGCCCATCCCGGAGCCCTGGGCTCTGCCTCCTGACCTCAAAGCCAGACTCCTCTGCCCGCCATGCCCTCTGACCCAGGAAGCAGCAACAATTAAAGAGGATGAGGTTGAGAAAGAGCCGCGTCCTAAAACGGATGACATGCTGGTTCGTAAGCTCGGAGCTTGTTCTGATCAGAGCCAATCGGCCAATCAGATGACTCCCTCAGTGCCTTCTTCCTGTAGCGAAGGTGACCTGCAGAGGTGGCAGGCTATCAGAGAAGCCAGTCGGCTGAGATATAAGAAGAGGCTCTTGGTGGAGAGGCTAGCTGCTCTGAAGCTGTAGAAACAAGTCGATGTTACTGTGCCCGGTAGCTTCTCTTTACTTTGTAAATTTACTCTTCCATTTGTTTTTCTTTTCGGTCTTTAGATATTCTCTGTCTGATGCTGAGTTGGTTTGGACAGCATGTTTTTAAGGCCTCCGCTGTGAGAGATGAGAGTTGTACCAGATTAAACTCTCATTTCTGAAAACCACTATGCAATGTTTGCAAGCACTGGATCAGTTTTGTGTGTTTCAACAGAAACTGCAGCAAAGGACATGTGGTGAAATTCACTACAGAAGTTACCCTGAACTTTTTCTTATTTTAAGTGTTTGTTGTGACCTCAGAATTGATATGCAATGGAAGGGAATGCATCATGGTTTTCTGCACAGTGAATATGTGGTATATTGAAAATGCAAGTCCAGGTTGCACTTTAAACCCACAACTGTTGTGTATTTTGAAGTGTGATTTATGAGCAAATCAGCATAAACTCATTCAAATTGTTTGATTCATGATGAGTTTTTGAAAAGAAACTCAAATTCTACATTTTATTTTTTGGTTTTTCTTTTCCCGTCAGACCGAGCTTGCCTGTGAATTAAATAAATAAAGAAGAGAAATGATGAAGTTGTGGTGCGTTGCATTGAACTGGCCGTTTGTTGAACTCTTTTAACTTCCACAGAAACCTGGATCTGACCAGAGTACAGAGTTGTTTTCCTCCACACAGGGAACTTCACACTAACACGTGAGGCTCAAAGTGCAGCAGCATGAGCGTGTGGAGAAGCCTCGAGTAATATCCAAACATAACGTCCCGAGGACTCTGACTTTAAGCAGCGCAACTAAACGTAGCCTTGTCCTTAGAGCTGACACAAAACCTATAGAAATTCCCCACGGCTTTGAACGAAGGTGCAACTTGCGGACTCCATAGTAACCTGGACACAAATCTGTGGTGCAGTGTTTGCACACGCACAGACACACACAAGGATTCACAAAGCAGCCATTTAACCTCAGTCAAGCCCATCTGGCTTTACTTCACATCCATGTGTATAAAACCACAGTTCCAGTGACATCATGTTGGAGTCTGCAGAAAAAGGAAGCATTGTTTTTTTGGGGGGGGTGATACGTGTCCACACACTTCTCCAGACAAATGTCAGGGAACAGAAAAAGTTAAACTGCACAGTAAGAAAACTACTGTTATACACAGTGGTGGAGAGAGTACTCAAACATTTTACTTAAGTGAGAGTACAAGTAAATAATCAAATGTGCTCAAGTAAAATTACCACATCAGCTTTTCTAAATTAAAAGTAAGTATTTGCTTTTAAATACAGTTACTAATATATA